TATATATATATATATATATATTTCTACTGACGGTTGCTTGATCTTTTGAAAGGGAAGCCGGTGAGCAACAAAGGTCTGTATGACATTCGCTAGAAGATTCATGTTTCTCCTCTAGGAGAAACGAAATGCTACCCTCTTCCTCGGGAGATGACGCACTAAGGACCACCGTCATGGAATCTCCAGGAGAACAGTTTCTTATAGGAGGAACAATTGTAGTGACTACTATATCAGAAGCGATGGTCGCAAGTATTTTGTGGAGATTGATTAACTCATTCAGACGACTGCCAGTAGAAGGAACAATATTGTCGAACCGAGTTTACAGGCATTATTAGCCTTTCTTGATTTTAGGCTAAAGAGATCCACTGATCAGATAGAGTAGAACAACGTATTTAGCTAAATGGGATTTTAACACGAGGGATTTCCGATGAATAGAAGGAACAAAACCACTAGAATTCAAAAGCTTTTTCTGACACGCGAGTCCATAATTCCAAAAAGAAGCCCAGCTGATTACGCAGTTCTAACAGGCAATATTTGGAAGACTGAGTAACGAGAGACCGAGCGGAAAAAAAACAGAACACAAAGCTTCTGACCTTCGTTCAGAGAAGAACCGGTAGCGTACTCCATCATGTAAAATTGACATCGTTTCGGAAAGTCTGGACCGGCGGCAAGGATTCGGACAATGTTTGGATGATTAGCTATGGCATGAAACAACAGTTCGTTTCTCTGCCGTCCTACGTCTGAACTTGGACCAACGAATGTCTTGATTGCAACAGTTCGATCACGCCAGTCCGTCCGGTAGATCAAGCCGAAGCGACCGGTACCAAACAAGACCTAGTCAATTGTTTACACGTTACAGAACCACAGAAGCACTCACTGCAGAATTGATGAGTTGCTGATATTCCGAAGTGTCGATGTTGTGAACGTGTACGTTACTTAACTTGACGCCCTCCACCAGCACATCCATCTCTATAAAATTTGTCTAATTCTGGGTTGACTTCATCTGCAAGAAAGAAAGTTAACGATGAGAGTGCAGTTTTCAGCGGATTAAGCAGACAGGAATTCACACGTACATATAGCAAGGCCAAAGCGGTCTTCAAGCGGGGCATGATGAAAGCCGAAGTGGTCCCGTATAACATCACTTAGGACACAGTCCCCAATTGACTAAGCGTGCACTGTTCGAACGTATTCTACATCCGGAGAAAATATCCATAGACACCAAAAGAGAACAGCCTAGGAAATATTAAATGTGAGGAGATACAAAGCCCATATATTACTGACAACGATGGAAAGTGAAAACTCACTGGGATACTTCAACGTGGCTAACCGTGGGATATGATTTAACGTATGAATTTAAGAAGGAGAGGTCGGAAACAAAGAGACGAAGTTCTTTGCTTAACGATGTTGGCATACCTTTGCGGGAGAAAATACTGTAGTCGTCTATCCCAGCGATAACCTCAAATCAAGTTGGAAAACCGGAGCACCAAGTTAGTACTGTTATAGTCAATTCTCCCTGATAAAAGAAGCATGATATCTCCCCCAGAAAACCACATGCAACGGGGAATATTTGCTCGCTCCGCAGAGCAACTTCGCTTTGAAGGAACTTGACTGACAAGACAAGGTCCTATGGACTATCTAACGGTGGTATGCCTTTGGGGAATTCCTGTAGAGAACTTGGTGATAACTGGATGAATCTCCTTTTGAATAGAAATTACATTTACCTCATAGCTGGAGACTCACAACCGGGCTCACGACTGTGGATTGACACTTTAAAGGCAGATTAAACGAGCCGAGGACCTCAACCTTCAGTCATTCGTTCACAAGCAACGAGCAGATGGCGTGAATATTATGAGTGATCAGTTCCTAACAAGACCAGAGGGACAATTGTAGGTAGCTGTGGGATTTGTGTTCACATCACTCCCCCCACCCGCATTCCGACGTAATACCTCTGATTCGGCCATGGCGACACAAGAAAGCACCGGACTGGAGTGGCCACTTACTAGAGCTCATGAGCAGCGCATATACTTGGCCATGTTGGGCTTCAAACGTCGGACAATTGGGGCGACCTTGTTGCCACTACTCCACACCGAATTATCAGTTGTGCATAGGCTGACCCGCCCCGTATGAGCGATGTGAACAGTTTGCCCATTGTCTTAACGTTATCGGTTGAAATGTGATGCATTGTAACCCAAAGCATCCAGCTAGGGTTTCTCCTCCAATGCTACTCTTTCGACTATCGATTTGAGTATTATCAATCAAGTTCAGTTGTCACTTACTGACTTCCTTAAAACATTTGCATACGGGATTGTCATCGGCTTCAAAATAATAAGAGTAAAGGAGTACCTATCAGTCAGAGAATAAGAATGCCCCGGTAAAGTGGAAAGGTGAAGACCTAGTGCGAAAGAGCCTTTATAGAGGAAAAGCACCAAGAACACAACTACACTTCCAAACATGAATGAAATATACATATCTCAGCATCATACCAAAGTGAGACACTATCAGTAGGATTTAATAAGTATCCTTTGGAAACTTCAACCAAGACCAGCGCACGACAGGCGAAACTTAGGTAGACATTTTGGCGGGCACCTGACAGTGTACTCACCAATGCGACCGGTTAGGTGCCATATCCTGTAAGATCATTAAATACTTGCAAGGAGTGTGATGTAGACCTAACCTGGAAGGCGCGACAATCCCACAACACCCAGCTTGATTTTACTCGGGTGCATTTCGCGTAGCTACGATGCGGCTCGTTCACCCTGTGGTGTTTCAACAAGCAGAAGGCATTCGCCTGTGATGCATGCCCCAAACAAGCTAGATTGATAAGTTTTAGCTGCTGCTCTCCGAATTCTTATCCATTACTAAGTATTCTATTACGCATGATTTCGCTGCGGACCAGCCGCAGCCAGTTAACTCCTGATGTGCTACAAAAGAGGCGGTGACAAAATATCCGGAGATATGGTTCAGGCAAGACAGGCTTCAGGCGCACCTATTTTCTGCAAATATACGGCCAAACTCTATTTGGAATACTGCTCCTGGATATCAGTATGAATAGTGCTGCAATATGTTGGTAGCATAATGTTGAAAGTATTTGAACCGAAGACAGAGACTCGTTCTCAAGTGGTAAATATTTTCGGGATTATCTTCGGGTGCCTAGGCGGGAGATTATTGATTAGGGGACCGATGATCATCATTGTTTCCGCTCTTCTCCACTATGGCAACCTTAGAATTTTGTAAAAACTCTGCACATTGCGCATGACAAAATTTTATTCAGAATATTCTTCAACGGTTTGAACCCATGATGTACGCGTCCCGAGAACCAACTGGAACACACCAACCACGCAGCCAGCAACTCAGTCTCCCCACTGGTGAACCGGTCCGGTTATTGTATCCCCGCTACTCAGTAGAACTGTACTATGGTTTCCAACTATAGTTTGCTTACTAGTTAGCCTTACATTTGTGTTTTAGACGCTACATTTGTATGATCTGAGGGGTTGTCGAGATCATATATTCTTTAATCCTTGTACCTTCGTTGACTGAGTGGACAGTTTTGGCAAACTACTGACTGCTGTCACTATTGGGTGTTAATTTTACATTAGGGAATTGACTATCTTGAAATGAAGTCAGGTAAGAATAAGAAAAGGGTTCTTTCAAAGAGAGCCCGTTTAAAACTAGACAGTTGCACTTCATTTATATCGGGGAACGAGCTCGGAGGAAGCCTATTCAACGTTATGTTTAAAAACCCCATCTATAGGTTGCAACCATATTGTGTAATTTCACAATGCTACAAGACTTATGGTGGATCCTATAAATTGTCCTTGAAGAGGGCTCTCCTTTCCGGAAGAAGGCAAAAGGCCTCTTTTCCATTGGTGGCCCATTTCAGGAAGGAGGTCGTCCTACGAAAGTCTAGCTGTCCAAAAAAGCCTCTCAACCTCATCTTTAAGCCTTTAACGCAGGGTTTGTGTAGCAGTCTCAACAGAATTTCAAGGGGATACAGGAATGGTATGTACCTTTGCTCCAGCCCCATTCAACCGAGAGCCAACGAGCGTGCGCAAAGCAGCTTAGTGATTGCGATGAGGTGTACCGAACCGTTACCAGACGAATAGTTATCCATTTGGCCTGAAAGGCTACTTGGCAACACAGAACCTACGGCGAGATAACCTATTTAGCGCCTTACACCACTATCAGCCAATAGTGATAAGGATTTCGAAAACCGCGACCCACCCAGTTAACAGAACCACTGAAGGTGAACTCGGCTAGGACTTCCAAGTTGGAAATGCCCAGTTGTTTTATTCAATACTGCGGTATAAAACAATCGATGGCTTTGAACGAACAAAGATCAACCGAAATTAAGTGCTACAGAGCGGACTGGGCAATGGACTAATCAGGCCAAACCTTTGAACATCCAAGGAGAACATTGACGTTTTTAACCTAATAAAAGCCAACGATTTTGCAGTTTCAAGCACAACCAGGTGCACCGGTCACGCTGTTTAAGACGGATGATCGAAACACGCATCCAAAAACAGCTTGGCCTCAATGAACGGGATAACGAGGTTGAAGTTGGAACACCGAAAATCCTGTTGTTGGAGTGGTATTCAGCTACATTTGGCGAAAAGGTTACCCTTGTTTTTGATCCTTGGAGTGCCTGGGATTCGACAGACTACAGAACGGTTATCTACGCATGCGTTTCCGAGCAGGAGGAGCATTAATATAAAACAAGCGAATGAAGTGGGTACAAGTTCCAAAGACCAACAAGGATGATGTGGACTGGCGCGGGACGCGGAAACAATTAGTATCGCTCCATAGTATGTTTTAGGTAAAAATTCGGATGTCGCGATACGCGTTTTCCATCTTCAAAAGGCGAATTGTTTTAGGATTTTGAGACTCTCTGAATTTCCAAGAAGAGGAATTTGACTTTTTTGAACGATTGCTTATCTAGGCAGCTGCATAGCTGCACAGTGACAGAAGCCAAAGCGCTAACATTTGAGAACCTACACCATTCGAAAACGAATTTCACTAGAGTACCTAGAGCCATACTCTGTGGTTGGGAAACCTAACCCCTTAGATTTGAGGACAACAGAAAGATTCAGAAGTTACAGCATACGTGGCTTCGCAAAATGATAGCCTGCAGCGTGTTCGCAATGAAGTGGCACGTAACTGAGCACCTAGTGCAACAGCTACTAGCTACCAAAGAAAGTATTGATTTCAACCCCGAACTCTTGTTGATGGAAGGTCATGGCTTAGCAACACGAATCGAGAGCGGCTACAGTCAAACACAGTGTTGTGGGATATTCGTGACTTACTGGTTGGGACTATCGGGATTATCTTTGTCCTAGGTTAGAAAACCTGTTGAATATGGTACGCGGCGGAGAGCATGTTCTTACGTCCTAGCCAGATTGTCTTTCGTTGTCAGTGAGGTTCACAAAGAACGCTGGGTCATGCAGACTAATGGCGTCTTCAGTATGATGACCCGACGCGCTTAAGTCGGTACTGCCCCATATATATATATATATATATATATATATATATATATATCCTACTTTCTTAATTGTTTTCTATAATAGCATGAGACTGTTGGCTATGGGTACCCACCCTTACCCTTTGTTCACTCTTTCCCAGGTATTCTTGATGGCGGTTGTATGGCAGTGGAGTACCCATCTCCATTACTGTGGAGGATGATGACGAAGATGGCATAGCATAGATGCTTATAAGAAGACAAGTTATCTGATACTCGAAAATATTGATGCGGAACGGACAATGCGATGTCTAGATGGATTCGCTGTTCTGCTTCCTAATTCTATGCAAAGCTTTGTAATTCTTCTACTCAGTCCTCTGTAGTCAGAGGTGGACATAAAACACAGCGGTTGAGATCACAAGGTAGGGTCATCCTCAAACAGGGACGTGTGACAAGAGAGGCGTTGTCTCGGATGCAGCGGTATGGCTGAAACGTTATATTGCGAAGGTAAGTCTGTTGTTACATTGTAAACGTTTAAGACTCTCAGTGAAATGCCGTAGCTGCAGCACCACGTCCTGATGAAATTGTGCATGATAACCAAGCGCGCAAGCCAATACGAGCGCACTAAGAGAGCTTCTTTCATCGTCAATGACTACTCGTTAGTTAAGAAAACACCAATCTATCCGAAAATCAGCATCAAAGTGGACGCAAAAAATCCATTGCTTTCAAAACAGTCTCAATTATTTGAACAACCACTGAGATGCTTGACAGGGTGAGACGAACCGCATTCTGATGAAGAAACAAACAAGAAATGCCCATCAAGTCGGTCGCGGTTTACTGGCGTGCTTATTGGTGTGCAGTGTCAAAGACGGATGAACATGGGTTGTATGCCCAATACAACATGACAGTCACCATACACTTACGGGTAACTAATAAGAGAGGTGGAATCTCACATCGATGTCACATGTATTTGCTTCTCCCATTAAACGACAGAGGTAGGATTGTGTACATTCGCCAGTAGTGCGAGTCAAGTTAAGCGAGTTGAATGTTTCGAAAGAATCGGACGATAAGAAGATGAACGATTATGAATAATAAACATACACTAATGGACGGAAAACCTTGCGGACTGATTCAACAGACGAAATGGAAAAGTAAAATAAGCAGAAAATGCGTGAGATCAACTGTGATTGCGCAGTCGGATACAACACAAGGCATCGGATGGATCTATGGAGAATTCTGCCACGGAACCATACGGGAAAGAAAACGCACGTGCACCGTCAAACACCAGGTGGGAGTCCAGCATGAGGGATCGAACCTGTAAACTGAACATTTAAGGAATGTGTAGCAGAATAGTAGAAGAAATCTCACTTCGACAAAGTTAGAAGGCGATAGAGCATCTACAGACATGGCAGAATATCGTCACGGAAACTACAGATCATTGGATACTCTAAACGATACGCGTCGTTAAGTTCATGTCTAACCAACTTGTAATAAAGGTAATGCCACAGCTCAGTTCTCTAATCTTCTCAAGTTATCCCTTTCAGCACAAAAACCACCATCAAAACCATGTCAAAAACATATTTAAAGCGCGTCGTATTTTAACGGTGTGCGGTGACAACATTCTGGAGATTCCGACACCTGGGGGCGCAATTTGCGACCAGCATTCAGCGGACACTGAATCATGATTAGCTACAGGGCCGCAGTTTCGGTCAATCACTTGCGGGTTAGGGTCTTTGGAAGTAGTAGCGCCTAACCGCGAGCAGTTAAGCGGTTTTTGGGCAGGATAATTTGCAACTATTACCGAGACATCTTATGAAGAACTTTTAATTGGAAAGATTCCCATAAAAATACATTTCACCAGGTTGGTCTGTTTATCAATGTGCAGTAATGGCATAAGAAGTGAAAACAGAAAAGTTCGTCATTGTATATGGATAAGAACATAATGAAAATTACGGGAGTGATTGACGGGGCAAGGGTATACATTTCGAATTTGTTTGCCACAGTAGTGTGTTGATGGATCATGTGCAGTGCGATGTGCAAAGAACCATGCCTAAAACTGTCTGTATCGTAAAGTCGGAGGACACCTCTGAAACTGTAAGCATGCACCATTGGTTGCTCAAGTGTACGTGGACTACAAACGGTTGGATCCAAACCTGCACGCGAAAGGTGGCATGGTGGCCCACAAACCCAATAGGCAGGCCAAAATAACTAACAGACAGACGTAGATATGAACGGAGATTTTGAAATAAAACCTGAGTGTGAATACACTATTGAAAAGTTAATCGCGACATGAAATAGGATCATAAACTTACTTAGATGCATATCCTCTAGAAGGCTCCATGTCAGTGCCTAGAGGAGGAAGTTAATGAGATGTGTGATAAACTAATATATTCATGGAAAATGGATACGAAACGGAATGAATAAAGTGTGCCGTGAAATTGGGGTACGATAACTTTCACATACAATAAAATCGAAACGCAATTTAGAAACAGGTAGCTCGGATAATAGTTTGTAGTTACTGAATTGTACTCCATTCCTATCAAGAAGAAGTCCCGAGTCTGAGAAACCGGTTAACAAACAGAGAGGATGTAAAACCAAGGCATTAGCTCCAGACTGATTAAGAACATAAATGGTCCATTAGGTTTCAGGATGGCCAACGAAGAAAAACCCAAGGCAAATGGAAAGATGTTTCTAACAGAATCTGTCAAAGTGATATAATATTCAGTTACAGTGTGAGTGACAAGCCGACCTTCAGATACCCCTCGCGTGTAAACTGAAGACAAACACAACATAAGTCAGCCACAAAAATGTAGAGCTCACACTTCTCCACTGGATGGGTCGAGTAGGGATCAGGCACGTGGCGCTGGTTAGCAGTTTCAGATTAGTGGTTAATGGAACACGAGCCCATGCAGACCCTACTTACCTACGACAGATGTAAAAACCACAATGCTCTTCATGATGAAACGTGCGTGTTTCTCTTGTAGAATGCATTAGAAAAGCCTTTCGGATCATCCTAACAAAAATCTTAAAGAAAATCCTACATCCGGAGATGACGCAATCTCAAGTTCAGCTGTCCCTGACAGAAAGATCTCCAGGTTTAACGCGAGAGAATGAAACTTTAATTTGCCATGAAATCCCAGAGCGGGTTCAAAACACTTCATCACCATCATCATCATCGACAGCATGACATCAGTGTTCAACACCGATGCTTCACTGCCGTATTCAAAACACTAAGATCATGATCACTAAGGTTGTCGCAAGAGTTCTACAAAGACGTCACATAAGAAGCTATGGGTGTTACGATACGAAAAGATGCAGCGTTGCGTTGATCCATAAGATAACAAAGATAACATATAAACACACGAGAACGGGCGTAAATCCTGAGAAAAAGCAGACCCAAGCGATCGACTGTTGCAACAGCATCGGTAGTTCACCAAAAATACATGACATAAAGTTGTGGGCTACAAATTATACAGCAGAATCAATCAGAAGCACGGCGCATGCACAAAGTGGATTAGTGCGAAGGGCTAACCGTAACAACGTCAAAAACTGCAGATGCACAGAATAACCGTTAGGTTCGACAAATACGTGCATAAGATGTTATGCATACAAAGACAGATAGGAAAAAGCATACATTCCAAAGCTGGAGAGTCCCATCTGCTAATGTACCGTATCTCGGTCCGTCGACGATAGTCATTAACCGTACCACAGCTGATGTGCAATTTGGTTTTCCGCATGCTTTCCCAAACACCAACAGTGAAAAATAATCGAGCTTTTGGACATCCTGTAGGGGAAGTGGCCGGGTTTCACAAGCGTAAGTAAGGACTGGGCCGATTACCGCTTTGAATATAGGGAGCTTAGTACGGGAGCTGATTTCAAACATCCTCTTTAGCTTGCCATTTAGGTCGATTGGTAGAACCAAAGTATGGTAATGCAGCATCCCGTTAATTTCCATCACCTCACAAGCGAAAGATTGCCCGCTGAGTTCTTACTTGCGTGAAGAAGAGCTTCGTCTTACTGGTACTGATCGCCAGTCCGACGAGTCATGCATGGTAGCTGACTCGATCAAGAGCAGCTTGTAGATATTCTGCTTTTTGGCCGAGTAAGGCAATACCATCGGCATACTCGAGCTCTTTAGCCCAGATGCTCCGGCTCAGTTTGACACCAAAACATCTATCTAGTGTCCGTCCAGCCAAGTACGAACTTGAACAACATTGCTGAAGGAGGGCATCTTTGTCCGACACCAGAAGCGAGGTCGGAAGCTAATAGAGTTGAACGAAGTACGAAAGTAAATAAGGCGAAAAATGGTTTGCACCTGGAGTTCGGCCAATAAAGAGTGGATAATTGGTCTACGCAACTTCTCCCGAGGCGGAAACCACATTCATTGGGTCGTATTCGAGCACCTATTACTCGGGAAATCTTTGGAGTGCAGGAGCAAAAATCTCAGCGGCACTGTTTATGATACTGATTCAAGGATAATTTCCACGTGATGTCTTGTTACCTCTCTAAGGGATTGGAAGTGAAAGCAAGATGCCTTAGTCGTATGGGGCAGACTTAGTCACCCAAATGGGACGTGTGTGTACAGGTGGAATGATCAGGGGGAGACAAAACTTGCAAACTCATTATTGTGTAGGGTTTTTCTATTTTCTGGGCAACTGACGACTAAACAAGTCCCTGCTTAATTAGACGGTTTGCAGTTAATGCTGCACGGCTCCGAGATCCATGTTCAAGAATTTCCCGTCTGAAAATCGTGAGAATTCGGAAGGCGACTAAAGTACTCCCTTCACTGTTTCTTCTTCGCTGAGTGATCCGCTATCTGCTTTCCGTTTCGATTGTGCAAAAGTGGTTTTACGGGCGGTTTCCCGCGGCACTAAAGCATCACTGTCAATAGTGATGTTGTTGTCTCCGATTTTACCATACTAAGTAGTCAGAAAAGCTTGGCCCCAACGTGTGAGGCTTTCTTCATATTTGCAACTCATTCGATCACTCTGATCTAGTGAATTCACATCTAAGCACTAACTTAAAGAGGTGTCCTGTTTCGTCTGAAATCCGGCCTTCGTGTCGTTGAGTTGTGCAACCGAAACGGTGCTTCCAGACTTGATGGATGGACCTTTTGAATACAGACCATTGGCCATGTACCAAGACGAACCGATTTCCCGCACGCAGGGCACAGATGACTGATCAAAAATTACTCGTGACCACGAACACTCAAGTTTGCGAAGTGGTCGATTAGAGACGAACACGGGTTCCACGGCATACCAACGCAAAAGAATACAGACCGACGAACATTAGCTCGGCTGATTAGGTTCGGAAGAAGCCCACCTTGGTAGTACATTCGGACTGATGCTGATTGCACAGGTTATGGAGTGCAACGTCACCAGGTATGTACCGAAAATCGCTTGCTTCTAGGCAACATAAGCATTAATACCATGCTACCTGAAAGCCGGCTAACGTATGTTATCTTGTTGAACGTTTCAGCAGCATTGGTAAAAGCCGGAAGATATGTAGCAATCAGTGTCCGTGTGAGCTGCTGGTCTAATTTCGATTGGAGTACTTTGTGGGATGATAAGTCAGTCAGCTTGTTCCGAAGGCCCGGGTACACCAAAAAAAAACGACTCATCGAGCCTAGTTTGTCTCTTTTTTGTGTGTGTGCACAACGTGCATCATTTTGTGACTTCATAGCTGTGATGACAGGACCCATCGATGTTAAGTACTTCATATGTAGGCCTGTGTCGGTTGGGCAAATGCAGAAACCTGTGTTCGAAATAGTAACGTAAGTGTTCCCGTGGTTGCAGACCACATTGAGCGAAATATTGGTGAAAGGGTGGAACAGCAGATGAACGTGCGCAGGTCGGTCACCTGCTAATGGCAAATAATGCACCGAAATCCATGTACTGTTCAACGCCCAACAGTAAGCTGTGTAAGGACACTGGTGTCTATAGCAGTACACAACGCGCATTCGACGGAGCTGAAACTATGCCAGAAACTATAGCAATGGTTGCATATTTCAAATAAACCTGGTGTTTGAACAGTTTCATACATCCCAAGACTTCGTAAACACGGGAGCAGTGCAACGTCACTGACTGCGAAAACCTAAGTACACGATCTAATGAAAGTAATAAATTTTGTGGATTGTGCTGTCATTAAAAAGCTCAGCGGGTCACCACCGGTCTACGCCAAAACTGTGGTGCGACATGGGCTTCACGATGATGTCTCTATTTTCTGGTGAAATCTCTGACAACCAACTGTTGATCACGAAACACAATGCCTATGTCCCATAGTTCACTTTTGAGTTGGAGAAAACATTTGACTGGAGTAAACAGAAGACCTGACCTTGTTAACTCTTTGCAACCAGAAGTTATTATGCAATTCAATAAAAAGACGGATTTGGCACCAGACAGGTGTTTTCCTCTCCGGTGTTTTAGTGCTGCAAACGTCTAACACCAAAGCGTTAGGGATATAATTGCCTAACCCTTAGGAGGAAAGAGATCGGCGTTATGATGAAGTTAGCAATGCAGTTGTTTCCCACCAGTGGACTTAGTAATGATAATGCGGCATAACCAGAAAACGGAGTCAACCATGCAAATTCACAAGGTTTCCTTAAGAGCTTACCTTGTCGCCAAATCCACGATTGATGCTTAGTAACCACTGGTCCTAAGGGAGGGTCATCAGAAAGTGACGATCGAAAACACGTGTAATCCCAGAGTACCAAAGAAATCCGATAGGCTAATCCAAACCACAGGGTATAACCTAAATGTGCTCAACGAACAAGGGGACGGATGGCTGTATGGACTATAAACTGAGCTCAGGACGACGGATATGACTAGCTCAGTGGTAATGCATATGCAGTAAACTACTCTTTGATAGCTGACTCTCATGTTGAGCATCCAAAGTCCACTACTGCAGTGATGCAGCATTACTCACGTTAAAAAAGCAAAGAAAACAGAATTAGTGTACCGGGTCCAAATGGAATCGTAAGGCTTCATGGTAGGTGTCCTCTGCCTTGAAGAGTCGTATCAAGTACTCAAAGCACCGGCGATGGATGTGGGTAGCCGCGTTCATGCAGTAAGGGTTACCACGTAGACCACAGCAACAAGCATATTAAACCACATCCGAGAAGCACAGAATAGCCACTTTGCCTACTAAGGCTGCACTCGTTGTAGATAAAAACCACACCTGCGAAAACGGTTAAATAACATATACGGAGTCTCGAAGAAACTGTATATTTCAGAATGCGGCACCAGCTGCGTTCGGGCTCGTAGGTGATCATGCCATTGCTAAATAAATGAATGTATTTCGTATGAACCCAGAGAATGTACTGTATCAGTTTCAGATATATATTCGTAAACTATGATAGGTTATCTTTCAGCACACCAGTAATGTCCGTAAGACTCGGGTGCCAGTCAGATTTCCTCAAGGCGTTTTCATTGTACGTTCACTGTCACACACAACACTCAGAATTCATTTCAAACTCCATAACAGACCACGCTAGTTTTATCCACTTGAAAGCAATGGCTAAACTGCCAACCTGATACAAAAGGACAGTAGCTGATGGGGTGAATGGGTAAAATTTTGTTAGCCCACGGAAGAATCATTCGGAAAACTCGGTCAACAGCCTGATCAGTTAAAAGCGACTTAAAGACTCGTCCCCAAAGACTAAGTCAGATGTAGTCAAAAAACGCTAACGTTGTCAGGTGACAACTTACCGTCGCTCATAGGTTCAAAAATGACATAGGCCATGCGTCTGTCTTCCGGGTCAAAAGGTAAACGAGCATTGTACCGCTCAGTGATCTCGCGAACAACGGAGTTCTCAAGATGGTCGTTTTGTGGATTCGTTTGTTCGACCAAACGGTTTATCACTGAGAGCGATTGGGTGGAACCATGATGACGCCGATATTCAGCACGCTCACCGTCTCGCTCCACATATACCGCTTTTGCTACTTTCAAAACCTCAGCTACTGTATGGGGGGATAGTGCCGTACCCTGTAAGTACCAAGACGTAGACCCAGTTCCAGTAACGACTATCATTCCGCTTGATTTTCGCCGAAGCAAGTTAACACCATCCACACCAAGCTCATATTTTGAAACTCTGTAGCCCAGGAAACCGAAAAAAGGACATCGAGAAGAGTGATTACCTGACTGGGGCGACCACAGTTAAGGAACTCAAAAGTAGGTCGTCTAAGGGGGAGTGATGACGGGAGGATAGTTGGACAGCTAATCCATGGTTCAACTGTTACCGGTATTCTGGTGGAATACTCTCTATCACTACAAGCGACTGACGTACTTACTTTCCGATAAACTAATATGAATAGTTCTAACTCGACAGAAGTCACGGCAAAACGTCACAAGGAAAAGAGATTACCCACGCCGCGTAAAATCGGTCGACAAAATCTTCACGTAAACGGGATGTGTTACACATCTGGCACCAAAACTGCACCGCGTCCCTTAGATCATTTGTTTTCTGGAATACGGATGACAATACTCTACGCGGCAGACTAAATACTGGCGTAAAACTCAGGCAGGAGCTCTAAACCGTCCAGCGCGGCGATACCGAGCTTGTGAGCTATTCAATTGCTAGTTACTGTCGTCGAAGACAGTGTAGTTCAGTAAAAGTCAGCGTTGACACTGATGTGAACCTAAGAAGATTTGAGAAAGATGTCCAAAGCAAGAGAACGAAGTAAACACCAGTCGGAGAAACTACCGGCAAGGTAAAAACATCTCGGTTAGGAGTTAAATCGCTTGACTCCTGGCTCAAAGTTCGCCCTCTCATGTTTTAGTCACTTTACGCAAATCTGTTGATTGTCTTTTCTGCGGGGTTCCCATCCAGTTTGGCGACCTGACTTTCGAGTTCCTAGTTTCGCGGACTTCAGAGCATCGCTAAGATGGATATTCCAAACTCAGATAAAAGAATAACCGCGGTCACCAGTAACACCGATTATGTGTAGACTGTCAAACAATAAGTGCGCATTGGTCATTCAACCAATATTTTATAAGTTTGGGAATTGAAATGATTTCTCTCGCTGAAGTTCTGCTATGATCTGGTAATAGCTCTCAATGTGCACCTTCAAATTACAGTCTCTTGGACGCACTAAAGCCGGCACATTATGTGCCTCTGTCAATCAAATGTGGGCTTAAATTAATTGCTAAGATATGAATGAAAGATATACCGATGCTGTACCTTCGAAAAATTGAGCTGAACATTTACGTTTGAATGTTACACACGAGTTGCCTGCCAAGTTACGTCCCACTTTTATCAAAGTGGTATGCCTGTTGGCGACACGAGACAACGCGCAAGGTGCCGTTATCACGAGTGTCCGTAAAATCCGATCACACACCAGATCGGACCGTGCAGCTAACTTCACTTACATGCTGATCAGAAGTGCAGCTAGGTGGCAGGCGGGAAAGGATACAGTGACCCGTTTTGGTAACATCTATTGAATAAGCAATGAAGGATAAGCTTTTCGTGTTCTTTGAAGACAATTAGTCACAAGTACACGACGTTTGGCTGGGTCGGCTTTCAGAATCTTCTCAGTAGCGAGGACCTATAAGGTATCTCAACCGATACCTTGCTATCAAACTACAAGTGCATAGCAGTGTTGAGAGGAGTATGTGCTTTTTTAATGAACAGTGTGGTAATCCACTACACAGTGAATCATGATCGGTGATTGGCTGCGACGATTTCCAGTGGCTGTGCTGGATTCCCACCGAACAATGTGAGCAGTATGATACGGTTAAGCGATGTGTCACGCCACAAACTAATTCTATTCAGAAAGGGAGGAATGCTTTTTGAAAGCGTGGCAAGGCAGAAGACAGAACTCACCTTGCACTCACTGATTCACCAATAAAAACTTCATTCAGTGCCAACAAAGGTAAGGAAGTGCGGACCATGGTGGATCTTGCGTACTGTGGTACAAGAGGATACTCTCGTTCTATAACGGACGGTAGAATATATTCGGGAGGACAGTCAAGCTTTTCGGAAGTCCACTCCTGCACAACCCATTTACGTTTATCCAACAACGTGAACCTTAACTGTTGGCTTGTATTGTGCAAGAGGCTGACGCGAAGTCGATTACGCCAAATACAACTGGAACAAAAAACCAAGTGATAGAAGTTTGAGGCATTGAACGGTAGTTCCAGATCACAAATCAAAGGATCGATGTTCTTGAACCGAGAGTGGATAGGCTACTGTTGACCGGCAAGGTTGATTCAGTTGTCAGCCATATATATATATATATATATGATTTTCGCATTTCGAAGATGAGTTACGCCATCCAGCTTTGTCTCAGATATGCACGTATCACTAACAGTTGCCTTTTACCAGTCAGTACAGGAGTCTCAACATAAAACAGGAAGCAGTCAGCTGAGTGGTTGAGATAGCCTGGAGTACAAAGCCTTACTACCTTCACAGTATGACGCCCATGCCTATTCGAGCAGCGGAACAGACGTCTTCAGGTGTTCGACAATCGTTGCCTCAGAACCATAGCTCGTGTGGGTTAGTGTCGGCGAATCCGTAACGAGGCAGTTAGAAAGCGTGTTTTCGGTTGTGTAACGGACACTTCCATTGAAGGATGTGTCCAGCACCAGAAGCTGCGTTGGTTGGGGCATGGGTTACGTATGGCGGACC